TGAAGGGGGAGTCCAGCAGCAACCAAACAAAGAAAAGAACCAATCTCAAATAGCAGAAGCAAAAGCACATGAGATTAAGAATGTCCCAACAATCTTGATAAAAAGCCATTGTAAAACCATCTAGACCCGGTACTTAGATCTATTCATAGAGAATATTGCTTCCTTTATTTCCTCTAGATCAATACTCCTTTCAATCCATAACTTCAACTCCTCAAATAATTTGGGCCAAACCAATCCATATAACTACAATTAATTCTCTAGGGGTCTCCTGTATATGGATTTAAAATGTTTCACAAATGCCCTTGCAATCTCCAAATGTTGTGCGAGTCACTGCATTAATCTCCAATTCTATATGAATTTCTCCTTCTTCCAACTAATTCTTATTCAAACAAAAGATCCTCCAATTGCTTCCTTAAGGCCCATCTCATCTCCTTATCCCCTTCCTTAAATGTCACTTCCTCTTCTTTGGCATCCAAATCCTCAATTTGACTAATAATCTCTTGTTTCCTCTCTTAATCCTTCCAAACTGTTGGATGCTCCATTCTTTTATCTTGGCTTTTAATTCCTTTAATTTCCAAAGAACTTCATTCCCTACTAATTTACCCTTGAGTTGTTGTTGTTCCACCCGTCTTTTACTTTCTCGACAAATCTAGGGTGAGACAACCACATGTTCTCAAATCTAAACAGGGCTGAACTTCTACTACCCAACTCTTTAGTAATAGTAATAGGGTAATGATTAGATGTAGTGAACAAAAATCTGTCAAGTTTTTTTTTTTTGGTAAAAAATTCTGTCAAGTTTAGAACATATAGGAGTAGTCTGAAGGTTGGAATAGGTATAGTTATAATGCAGGAGAGGCACTTCTTTTATCTCAAAATTGTTTATAAAGGTTTTAAATTTCCTCATGCTTGTATTGATTCTTTGCCTCAATTTGTTAGTATCTTCTATAAAAGTAATAGCATTGAAGTCTCCACCTATGCACCATGGTCCTTCCCAAAGTCCTCTAATGTCTTCCAATTTCCTCCCACATCCCCTGTCTTTCTTTGTATCCATTTGGGCCATATATATTTGTCAACACCCATTCAAATCCATTTGACCTCTGTCTAAACTTAATGGAAACAATAAAGTTTCCAATAAGTTCTTTAATTTCTTCTATTGCCTCCTCTTTCCACAAGGTCACCATGCCTCCTGATGTCCCCCAAGATGGACACCTTACCCAATTAATTCCCCTTGGCTTCCATACACTTTTAGCCTACCTTGAGTCAAATTCTGCCAATTTAGATTCCTGGAAAATCACTACATCTGGGCGTTCTTTCCTTAATACTACCTTTATTATAGTCCTCTTTCTTACATTCTCCAGCCCTCTTACATTCCAACTTAAAATCTTCATTTCACCTAACAATCAGCCCCTTTTACTCTACCCTCTATTTGTTCCCTCTGCTCCTCCCTCTTCTCTCTCTAAATTCCCTTTCCCCTTCTACATCAAGTTTTAATCTTTCAGCTTCACTTAACTTCCTTTTCCTCACCTTTCCTTCATCCTTTCTTCTCAGAAAGACTTTTAATTCATTTAGATTTTTCAGTCTCCCCAGTTTCCTACAAAATCAGGCACAGAATCTTCCTTCTCATTTTCATTAGTCTTCTCACCTTCTTCCTTCTCCCTACCTCCCTCATCTCTTTCCACTTTGTCCCTCATTGACTGACTGAGGGTGCAGGTGGTGGAGTCCGGTGCCATCTCTCTTCTATTTAAATTGTCAGTGGTGAAACATTTCCCCTATGTGGCAATCCAGGATAAAATGGAAATACTGGAGGGTACAACAGTGTCCCAAATAGCCTTGTTAGGGAAGCCGGGGTTGGCTTGATAAAGAATTAAACAGAAGGATCTAACTAAGAAAACCCTAGATGAGTTAGCAACCCAAACTCTTTTTTATCAGAAAAAGAAAACCCTTCTATTTTTTCTCCCTCCATATACTGCAATGAATTGTAAATAAAATTGCACTCCACAATTCCCTAGCTTTCTTACCAATCGATATTGATGGCGACATTGAAATTACAACGTTGCTGCTGAGATGGTATTACCGGCAGTCTTATGAACAGTTAAAAGAAGAATGCCAAATTGAGATAAACACCTTGCATTAGCTAAATAAATGGATCAAATCTTCATAGTTCCTGTACATGATGTATTGATTAGCTAACTGAAATCCTCTTGATTTTAGATAAGGATCAGAATACTATTCATTGATAATAACCACATAAAAGCTTAACTCTAGGAAGTATAGGATTTCCCCAAACTTTTTTCAAATCAAATTTCTCAACTTGGTTGTTGGTTGCTTCTTCTTGTATACTCTTGTATACTTTCTTCTTATTTATTTTAATATAATACTTATCTTCTTCAAAAAGAATACAAAAAAAAAATGCTTTACTTGATTTCTAACATGCACTTCATACAAAGACCTAACAGTAAATTTGTTAACCAAACACTCTTTCAGCATCTAGATCCTACATTCAGCTTTATGTGAATTATTCTTCAACTCTGCCTACCTATAAAACAGATAAATGCATTCTTAAAACTTCTTTTCCAGCCTTTAAAACCTGAACACTAAACCACCTAGGAACCTTATCTCAAAGCATTGACTGACAGTTATGTTGGAGTGATTTATCTCAATCTACCATTCCCAACCAGAAATTTAGTACAATATTCAATGAAGGAAACTGTGTGAAATTTTATAATTCCTTTTTAGATCCAAACATATAAGAGGAATGCACAATGCACCTCTCTAGAATTCCATTCCGTGCCCAACTCATACTTACTATCTCTTTTATCCAAAGGGAATCTCTCTCAAAAGCAAACCTCGAAAACCATTTTCCTGTTAATTCTTTATCCATGTCACATCTGCTTAAAGCCCAAAGTTCATTTTTGTTGACATTTATTGAGGCATTTGTCATTGCATTTTTTCAGGTTATTATTCTTGATGAGCCTACTAGTGGAATGGATCCATATTCAATGCGTTCGACATGGCAATTGATCAAGAAGATCAAAAAGGGGAGGATAATTTTATTGACCACACACTCTATGGATGAGGCTGATGTGCTAGGAGATCGGATTGCTATAATGGCTAATGGCTCTTTGAGATGCTGTGGAAGGTTCTTTCCATTTTAACTTTTCTCTTAATTAATAAAAGAAGCATATACTTAAACTTAACTCCATTCTTAGTCAAATATGTTAGCATCATGCATGCTATAAGTTTTACATATTAATTATTCCACCCTACTTAAGAAAAAGAAGGAAGAAATAAAATAAAGAAAAACAATGTAAGGAAACCAAAGCATGCTCCATATATTTGTGTGTATGGGAGACATCTCCTGCTTTTATTTAAGTACCAATGCCTTGGGATGCCAAATCTTTCCCTTTTTTCACTTTTCTTCAATTCTCTTACAACTTTCCTACTCCTATCCTATCTATATGAAAATCTTCATAATGCTAAAGGATAATAAAACTATTCAACAACAAACTTTCTAAATTCATTTTTTTTGAAGAAAAAAGGGTGGATGCTAATTAAGAATTTACATTGGTTAAAAAATAAAGTGATATGAGCAGAATTCGGATCTACTTATACTTGTGCAATCATTTAGAATATTTTTTTGGTAATCAAGTCATTCAGAATATTTTGGAAGAGGAAAATGGTGATAGAACCATATACAAATGAAATTGTGTCACAATTTCATGACCAAATTTGATTACTTGTCTCCCGAAGTTGCTCTTGGAAAACCATGTACTAAGTGCTGACATATAGGAATTTGCTTGGACTTTTTTTTTGTTTATTAAAGCAAACCTTGTTATTAACATAAGTTGATCAGATAATGATATGAAGTTGGAGCATCCTAAAAGGACCATGATGGGATCATACACCGAGTCTGCAATGATACTAGTTTGTTCATTACGGGTGAGGCATAGCTGCAGAAGGAGTTTATGCTTATGAAGTGGATTTATTTTAACTGAAATTAGGAGGAACTTGTGAGTCATTAATGTAATATATTGTAATTATTCTCAAAGATTTTTTTGGGGTTCAGGCAGGATCATTTTCCGAAGGAGTGGGGTTGCATCATTTTTTTTTTCTTCCTTTACTTTCTAAAGGGAGTGGAATCGTTCTACTAATTAACTTATATCCAATAATTTTAACAATGCAAAACCTGTGTTTAAATCCAACCTGAAAATTAGACCTTTCTTCTATCTGAGTGGCAAGTTAGTAGTTCAACTGTCAAGTTAAATGGGTCAGTCCATGATGTCAACATTAAATTAGGCACATCTCTAATATTTTATATTTGTCACATTAAACAAAAATAAGTATGATAAAATAAGATGTCATAATCAAATGATACATTTTCTATTCAGGTGGTGAGTCAATAGTTCAACCCATTTTGGTCAAACGGGTAAGGTAACTGATGGTTCAACCCATTTGGGTACATCTCTAGTATTATGTATTCATCATATTAAACAACAGTAAGTGTGATAAATGAGAACTATTTTTCTTAATGATCAAAATGGAATAAAAATACAACTTGGAAACAAACTGTTTTTCCATCTAAGTGGTTGGTCACAGTCCAATTGTTTGGGTAAAATGGGTCAACAAATGGTGTCATAATTAAATAATAAAAACTCAAATAGAAAGAAATAAAATATAAAAATACAAAATGTTGTTGATAAAAGTTGTGCACATCTCTAATATGAAATATCTATCATATTAAAAAACAATAAATATGATAAATAAGAAGTATTTTTATTAACAATGGAAATGGAATAAAGAATTTAAATCCACATCACATACTGCTTTGATTACTTATTTTAGTCTCATGGATTATTGATAAGGGTACTGAAATTCTTTTTGTTTTCTGAAATTATCACATGCAAATGCACATGCGCATTTACTAGTATAAAACAATATGTGCTTTATCTTCTTTCAAACAAAAAAAGAAGCAGAATACAATATTCCAGAGGATCCAGTAGATGTGTTTAAAATATGGGATCTTTCAAACTGGTCTGGGGATTTTACAAAAAATTGCCTGACAATTTCTTTGACTGATGCTCTTGCTTTTCTTCTTTGTTCTCTGCTTTCAATCCCTCATGGTTCTAGTAGACTGATGTACACACTGCTGTGTGAGATTGCATTGTCCTTGAATTACTTGCAAAGAAGAAAGAAAGAAAGAGGGATAGAGATAGCATACTAGAAAAAAATTTCATGACCCCTGAAGGCTAGGGTTGGATTGCCTCCAAGGAATTGACATTTGGAAAAACAGTAACAGATTGGGTTGCTCTTTGTTCTTCATTTTGCTTCTTGTAATACTTTGGGCAAAAAGGAGGTTATTTTTGTGTTTTTGAGTGTTACAATTTGCTTACTTTTAACTAGCTTTTCCACTAATAGGATGTTCTAATTGTTTTTCTTTTGGATTTATTAAATCCATGGCATCTATTTCTCAGTTATCATTTTCCTGTTGGCGCAGTTCTCTTTTCCTGAAGCATCAATATGGTGTTGGTTATACTCTTACTTTGGTCAAGGTTTGCTCATGTTTTGATATCTTTCACCATGAAATTTCTTGATTAGGTTTTATTATAATATTTAACTGGTGATGACTGATATGCCTTTCCCTGAATTCTTCAGACATCAGCTTGTGCTTCTGTAGCTGCTGACATTGTTTATCGTCATGTTCCAGATGCAACACGCTTGAGTGATGTATTCATCTTTCATTATGTTCTCATTAGTTTCTTTTGTCAGTTTTAATATTTATCTAGTTAATTATTTTTTCTCTATCAGGTGCTTGCATATTTTGCTCTTTATAATGTGAGAATGTTTAAAATCTKGAARTAARCYATTKGATAATGGATGCTGAAWRGGATGAAGGTTTTTGTAGTTGGTCTTGTAGGGTTTTCTCTAAACATGTACTTTGAAYAKATGAAGTGGCAAAAAARCCTAATATCTAATAAAGAGCTTCTTGATTTTCAGCATTCATAAATTGCTGGCTTGCTGCCATTTATATCAGCTGCATATTATCTTCTGGATGGCATATTTTCTTCTGAATAATATGGCAAGAAGAAGCTGAATGTAAATTTCCACATTTTGTAGTTGAAGTGGTGGATGCATGAGCATCCTTTTTACTTCAACCTATGCTTCCACATCTAAGATACCAGCCTGTGGAAATTCATCATTCAGGGAAAATTTCTTTGGTTATAGAAGAAAAACAACCTTCTGAAATAAACAGACTGTTTGAAAAGGTGCAGAAAAGTGATAAAGAACAGCAGAAACAGAGAATCAAGAAGAGAGAAGAGGAAGAAGGTGGCGGCACTAAGGGTTCAGAGAGAGATTTTCGAATCTAATCTCCTCTTACACCCTAACTCCTTTTCATTAACTTAATTTTAGTAATTTACAGAGAGGCCCTTAATTGGGTGAATAATTTAAAAAAGACATAACATAAGAATGGCCCATGTTGAGGCCCATTACAACAAAGAACATAAAGAAAAGATATAATAAAACAGTCTATGGGCCATTCGGCCCATCTTCTCTACACTCCCCCTCAAGCTGAGCATAGATGTCAATCATGCCAAGCTTGCTAGTATCATGCTGAAGTTTAGCCTTGGGGATGCTCTTGGTAAGGAAATCAACTAACTGTCCTTCAGAAGAGATAAATGGTAGACAAACTTCTCCAGAAGCCAATCTTTCTCGTATAAAATGTCTGTCAACTTCAATATGTTTGGTTCTGTCATGTTGCACTGAATTGTGAGCATTGTTGATGACAGCCTGATTATATTGTGAGCATTGTTGATGACAGCCTGATTATTAACATTAATGGCTTATCATACTCAATACCCAATTCCTCCATCAAGAATTGAAGCCACAATAGTTCAGAAACTCCATGAGCCTTGGCTCTTTATTCAGCTTCAGCTGAAGATCTAGCAACAACTAATTGTTTCTTGCTTCTCCAAGAAACAATATTACCTGCCACCAAACTATAGTACCAGAAGTTGATCTTCTATCATTAATGTTTTCGGCCCAATTAGCATCTGTGTAAGCCTCCAGTTTCATATGACCATGCTTAGCAAATAGAATTCCCTTTCTAGGAGAACCCTTTAAATAACACCGAATTCATTCTGCTGTTGCCATGTGAGTGTCCCTAAGAGCATGCATGAACTGACTAATGCAGCTGATAGCATATGCAATGTTTGGCCAAGTCATGAACAGATAGAGCAACTTCCCAAGTAACCTCTAGAAGACTCCCTTATCTTTCAACAATACTCCATCTGAGGCAGAAAGTTTATGACTCACATCAATAGGAGTAGCATCTGGTCTAGCACCCATCTTCCCTGTTTTAGTGAGCAAGTCAAGAACATACTTTCGTTGAGAGATAAGGATCCCATCCTTAGATTGAGCAACTTCTATGCCAAGAAAATATATCAATTCCCCCAGATCTTTGATCTCAAACTCTGTATGAAGGAAAGATTTAAGATCATTAATCCTTGTTACATCATTACCAGTCAATTATTTCATTGACATAGACAATAAGATATACTGCCAAAGAGTCTCTCCTCTTCACAAATAGGGTATGATCAGACTGAGTCTGTATATAGCCAAAGTTAACAAGGGCAGCCCTAAACCTTTCAAACCTTGCCCTAGTTGACTGTTTAAGTCCATAAAGAGATTTCTCCAGCTTGCATACTTTTCCCTCCATATCTGTGTCATACATTCCTAGAAGAAGAGACATATAGACCTCCTCATGTAACTCTCCATTCAAGAATGCATTTTTCACATCCAACTGGTAAGCGATCAATCTGAATGTGCAGCCAAAGATAGCAGAACCCTCACAGAGGTCATCTTTGCAATAGGAGTAAAGGTCTCCAAATAGTCAATCCCATATGTCTGTGTATAACCTTTTGCAACCAGCCTAGCTTTGTACCTTTCAATGGTGCCATCAACATGATATTTGATGGTGAAAACCCACTTACAGCCCACTGGTTCCTTCCCTTCAAGTAAATCAACTACTTCCCAAGTGTCATTCTTATGCAGGGCATCAATTTTCGTTCTCATAGCATCCTTCCATTCTGGAATAATAAGAACTTCTGACACTAACCTGGGTATTGGGTTAGAAGCAACAAAAGAAAGATAGCCAAAATATAAAGGAGAGAGCAAACTATAAGAAAGGTGTTTGGAAATGCAATGTGCAGTACACTTCCTTTTACCTTTCCTGATAGCAATAGGGACATCAAGGTTTGGGAAGGATGGCTCCAAAGGGACTGTATCAGTACCTGTTGTCTCTTTTGTGACTAGAAGTGTAGGAGTCGCATGTGGTGTAGAGGAAACAATTTGCCCACTCCTAGTTCTCTGCCGTTGGTATAGCCTGGGATTAAAGAGAGGACGAGGAGGTAACGAAGGAGGAATAGGAATATTGGAATGAGAATGAGATGACTGTTCCTCCCTTGACTCTTTTGAAGTAGAAAGAGGCTCAAAAAAAGACTCAATTGGGACAGGAAGGGGGAGAGCAAACAACTGTGACAAATTCTCCCCCTTTGGACAATGCCTCTCCTGAGAAGGATCATAGAAAGAAGACGACTCATCAAAGGTGACATCCATTAAGAAAATGCATTTGTAGGCCTTTGGTTCAAATTTATGTCTTTGGGTACTTGGAATGTGTACATAATAAGTGTAGCCAAAGACACAAAGTGGAATAGGAAAAAGGTCTTTGCCCGGATGAAGAAGACTGAAAGGAGACTTAAAACCCAACACTTTGGATGGCATACGGTTGATTAGGTAGGTTGCAGTGAAGATAGCATCCCCCCAAAATCTTGTAGGGACATGTGAGGCAAACAGGATACTTCTTGCAACTTCAACAATATGCCGATTTTTTCTTACAGCGACTCCATTCTATTATGGAGTCCTAACATAGGAACTTTGGTGAATAACCCCCAAATCAGTGAGATAACAGGTTAGGTTTTTCTCAAAATATTGTTTTGCATTGTCAGATCTGAAAATTTTGATTCTAGTATCAAATTGGGTTAGAACAAATTCATGGAACTACTTCACAAGTCTGGGAACTTCATAAAAATTATCCAAGTATATCGTGAAAAATCGTCAATGAACAAGATAAAATATTTGTAGCCACCCATATAGGGTAAGTGATAAAGCCCCCACGCATCAGAGTGCACAATATGGAATGGAGAAGATCTTTTATTACTCAAATGGTAACTGCTTTTACAATGTTTTGACAACTACAAGACTCACAATGAAGATTGGACAAATTAATTCCCTTAAATTGTTCTTGGAATAAATGACTCAATGCAGTAAAAGAAAGATGACCCAAACGAAAATGACATAACATGACACAAATGATAGATTCTGAAGATGTATATCCAAAGGCAGCTTTCCCAGGTTGTCCTTGGCTCTGTCCAGGAGTATCCAGCAGATATATTCCATTCGTCTCATGGGCACTCCCAATCACTTTCTGAGACTCCAGATCTTGAAAAACACAATAAGAAGGAAAAAAGGTTACATTGCAATTCAAAGACTTAGTTAGGTTGCTTACAACTAACAAATTTGTATTTAGTTTGGGTACATGAAGAGCAGAAGGAAGTAACAGATAACCTATAGCCTTGATGGTTCTCTTGCCAGAGATAGGAGCAAGAGAGCCATCGGCTAGGGTGATTTTATCACGGCCAAGAAGCAAATCATAAGAAATAAACAAGGTGGAAAGACTGGTCATATGGTCAGAAGCACTAGAATCAATTATCCAAGGGATCCTACGATTACTTGAGATAGTTGCATGATTGGCAGAAGCCCGTATACCTGAATGAGCAAATGTAGAACTGGAAGTCCTTATATTCACTAAATATGATGTGGGCAAGCAAACAAAATACAAACAGTACTTTTAAGTGAAAAACAGTAAGCAAAGTAATAGAGAGCTGAAAACCACAAACTAAATTTTCATGGATTTCAGAATTGAACCAGATGTAGAACTTCTTTTGGAGTTGTTCTACTATACTAATAATGACATCAAGTTGGCCTCTTTTGCTGACACATAATGATAGAGGGATCGGAAGGTGCCCAATGCGTTGACTCCTCAAAATCCAAGCTCCCAATACTTGAAAATCCTACCTAGGGTTGAACTACAACTCAAATAAAAGAGAAAGAACCAAAGTGACCCCACAAAAGTAACCCCCATCTCTTTTATAAGACTCAATGACTCATTGGAGAAGCCAACCAATATCCCCTAGAACCCCCCTTCCTTACAAATAACAACTCCTTAGGCTGTGTTTGGTTGCAAAGAAAATACATTTGCACTGATGCAAAGCTATGGCAGTGCAAATGATTTGAGTGTAAATTCTGACCTATTCTTGTTTCAAAATTTAGCTTATTTTTTTTATTGCAGTACAAATGAAGTATATTAAGACATGAAACAGAATAGAGTAAAGCCCAAAACAAAATTAAACAAGAATTTGCATTTTTTTCGGTTGTACTTCCATGCATTTGTACTGGTGCAAATAAAATTGCACTGCAACCAAACACAGCCTTAAGAACAAAAATAACTTCAAAGTTAAAACACCCCCCCTCTCTCCCTCCCCCACAAAAAAAAAAAAAAAAAAAAAAAAAAAAAAAAAAAGAAAGAACTTCAGTTACAAAACACCTAAAGGACCAAAACCTAACTAAGGTGCACCGAATTGCTCCCGACCAGAATGTAAATTATAAAATGATGAAAATACCTCTGGATCCAAATTGATTTCAAAGCTACCTCAAACAACTATTTGGGATCCAACTACAAAAGAAAAAGAAAAGAAAACAAAGAAATTAAGAAAATATTTACATTTCCCTCCTTTTTTGGGGCGCTCATCAAAATATCTGTTTGATATGGTTGGTTAGAATTGTGATAGTCTTGGGCATAAAGGAATTTCATGATAATATACGGTCAGTGACCTGCACTGTCTTAGCCACTTTGTTTATATTTGCTTGGGATATTTTCTTTTACCAAAATAATAATCTTTTGATTTTGATATGATTTGAGATTAATGTAACTGATTCTGTTTGTACAATTATTTAACCAGAGTGATCTCATTCTACTTTCATGCAATTAATGTTGATCTTCTTTTACTTCTTTTTTTCTTTTCTTCATTTTTTGGTTATTGGAATTGCTAACAGTATTGTCTAACATTTCAGGTTGGTACAGAGATTTCCTTCAGACTTCCAATAGCATCCTCATCTTCCTTTGAAAGTATGTTCCGTGAGATTGAAAGTTGTATGAGAAGACCAGCCAATATCTCTGAAACAAGTTCTAGTGATGAAGTGTGTTGTCTAGGCATTGAGAGTTACGGTATCTCAGTCACAACTTTGGAGGAGGTCTTCCTGAGAGTTGCTGGATGTGGCATTGACAAAATTGAGCATATTGAGCGGAATACGGATCTTGTCAGTTCTAATTCTGTGGTTTCTAATGCCTGCCATCAGCATCTTCAATCAAAAACCTTAAGTTCCAAAATACCTTGTGGAAATTTCGTTAAGATTCTTGGAACAATGTGTAGTACAATTGTCAGAGCATGTTTCTTGATTCTTGCTACAGTTTTCAGTTTCATAGGCTTCTTAAGTATGCAATGCTGTAGCTTTTGTTTTATCACAAAATCTACATTCTGGCAGCATTCTAAAGCTCTTATCATAAAGAGGGTAATATCTGCTCGCAGAGACCGTAGAACAATTGTTTTCCAACTGTTTATTCCTGCTGTTTTCTTGCTTTTTGGACTTCTTTTCCTCAAGCTTAAGCCACATCCTGATCAGCAGTCTGTGACATTCACAACGTCACATTTTAACCCTCTGTTACGAGGTGGGGGTGGTGGAGGTCCAATTCCTTTTGATTTGTCTTGGCCTCTTGCAAGAAAGGTTTGCTGATCTTAGTTGACTTTTGCACAATTTATTTTCTATAAATTTTCTGATCTTGTTTGATGCATGATGCCACTATCGTTGTGGAAATCTCTTCCACATTCATCATCATTCAAATTATTGTAGGTCTTTTCTGATGATTTTTCCAACCTAAAGTGTCATCAACTTGCAGGTTGCACAATATGTGGAAGGGGGTTGGATTCAGAGGTTCAAACCAAGTTCATACAAATTCCCCAATTCTGATAAGGCTCTTGCTGACGCTATTGAAGTTGCTGGACCAATATTGGGCCCAATTCTTATTTCTATGAGTGGATTTTTAATGACTAGCTTGAATGAATCATATCAGTCAAGGTGTGTTATCTTGAATTCTGGCACCTAGTATTCTTAATCTATTTATTCTGTTGAAGGTTCTAATATCTGTTAAAAATTTTTCCATTTGTCAAAATTGCAAGATGGTTTGTCTTTCACCTTTGTAGGATTTCACTATTCATGGTCTTCAAATCTTTTTTCTTCCCCAGTTTATTTTTCTGTCGGTAAGACAAAGGTTAAAATGCTAATAATGCAAGTTTTTGGAGAATGTTAACCAATTCCAAATGGAATATGAAAACATATCTGGTTAATAAAAAAAACATAATAAGATACACAAAACACCATCCAAAAGTGTACTACTGCAGGCCTAAAAAATTTCCCTTGGTAAATATTCCCTGAAAAATACAACTACACATGGTTTCTCAAATCACTAGGTGAACGCAAACTGGTTCCTTGTGAAGTAGTTTGAGTCAAAATTTCCTCCTTATGTTTATGAACATAACAATTTGAATTGTGGATTTCTATTTATATAAACAAAAATGAGGGTGGGCCTTGGCGCAACGGTTGGGTTGCTCCATTGCAACCAGAGGTTAAATCTTGGGAATAGCCTCCATATGTGCAGGGGTAAGGCTGCATACATCTGTCCCTCCCCAGACCCCACATTGGTAGGAGCGTCGTGCATTGGACTGCCCATATATATAAACAAAAACGAAGCACAGTGGCTCAAAGATTTTATCGATGGGGCAGTGCATTTCCACAGAAACAGGGTTTGGGAAAAAGAGTATGATCGAGGTAAGAAGAGTTTTTCGCCAAGAAAAAAAAGGGAAGGGAGATTCCCAAGTGTTATGGAATTTGGAGAAATGTGTGAACATTGGACCATTTGTATCCCTGAGGGCTGGAGGTCAACTGGGTGGGTATGTTTCTTGGCTTTGATATAGAGGGTTTCAGACTTGAAATTTCAAGACTTGGCTTGAGGAAGGATGGGTTTGAGAAGAATGGGGAGGGCTGTGCTATAAGTATTCCGAGGCCAAAAGCCATGGTACAAAGTATGGAGATTAGAGTGTGACGATAGTAGTCTCCAAAGGGAAGATTCAACTAAGTTGGTTGGAAGTTTAGAAAGTCCTGGCTAAGAAAACTGTATAGAGAAGTCAATTTGAAACCGTTTGAAGCAGACACTCTCTTGTTATTAGGTTGGCGTCCGGAAGCAAACATGGTTCAGATTCATCATCAGCTGAAAGTTGTTGAAGTAGGTCTTGTAGGGCTGCCTTTCACCCTCCGGAGTTGTTTAGAATGATTGGGGAGATGTGTAGTGGTTTGTATTGGTGAGCTCCTTGCATCTAAAAAAGCTGTGGTTTGCAGTTAATGGAGTGGTTAGGGACAGCTTGGAGAGTAATATGTGAGTGGTAGAAGTTCTACATGATGGATGATGGATGTTGCTTCAAAGTCTGGGTTTTTTCAACAGTAGAGTTGCAGATGTGGAAGGAACAACTCAATGCCTGCAGCCACATGGCATTCAATTGGTGGGTATTTTCAAATTCCTTGTTAACTTCTTCCTAAGGAAGCTAAAGGGGTAGGGAAGTTGAAAGGATGTCGACCAGAGCGTTGTCATGTTGAAGACGGAAGGCCATCTATGGATTGAAGTTCATTAATTAAAAAAGATAGACCCATGCAAATCTCAAGACTTTCAGATGGAAGCGGGTTGAAAATCTTAAAGGGATGGGGAATGTTTCAACTACATGTGGCGATAGAATTGAAGGGGAAAACCCATGTAGCGACTTAAATGGCTATGTGAAAAGAGGGGATTATCAGGTGTTAGTAGACAATAACCTTGATCTATCATCTTCTTTTCCATACAGACTACAAAAGGTATGATCCTTTCTAGAAAAGTGGTCGGCCAAGAGTTAGTGCAATAACAAGAAGTGGTTCAGTAGAAAAGTTTTAATAACTTGTTTTGATATAAAATCTGTAAAAGAAAGAAGAGAAAGAAGAGAAAGAAGAGAAGAAAAGGTTTCTGCTAGAAAGAGAGGAGAGATAGAAGAGAATGGAGGAGAAGCCAAAAATCTAATCTGGCTACCCCTTTCATTAAATTATATACTCATAAATAAAGAGTGTACAAGTAGAAGTGTGCCCTTAGTAAGTCGGCTACTTGTAAGAAGCTGAAAAGTCACACTTAATTAAATGTAAACTAATGGGCCTAAGGCCCAACAACTACCTAACTAAGTTATGCAAATAAAAAACAAATAAAATCGGCCCACAACTCAACACTCCCCCTCAGTTGGGAATAAACACTCCAGCTTGTTTCTTGCAACACCTTTTGTAAGAACATCAGCAAGCTGCACGTCAAATGCAAGCTATGGAAAGCAAACTTCTCCTGAGGTCACCCTTTCTCTTATAAAATGTCTGTCCTCTTCAATGTGCTTCGTCCTATCATGCTGAACTGGGTTGTGGGCAATGTTAATTGCTGCTTGATTGTCACAGTATAGCATAATAGGTTCTTATGCCTCAATCCCAGTCTCACCTAACAAGGAATAGATCCATAGGAGCTCTGAAACACTATGTGCCATGGCTCTGTATTCAGCTTTCGCACTTGACCTTGCCACAACTGTATGTTTCTTACTCTTCCATGAAACTAGATTACCTTCAAAAAGAGTGCAAACTCCTGATGTAGATCTCCTGTCATCTAGACACCCTACCCAATTAGCATCTTTGTAAGCCTCTAACTACAACTGTCCATGGTTAACAAACAATATGCATCTACTTGGGTGTCCCTTCAAATAGGAAAGTATCCTGTTAATAGCCTCCCAATGCTGAACTCGTGGGGTATGCATGTATTGACTCACCACACTCACTGCATAAGAGATGTCTGGTCGTGTCATACGTAAGTATAGCAATCGCCCCACTAATCACTGATACCTCCCAACATCCTTCACTAGTCCACCTTTTGAAGCATTTGTACTGTGGTTTTGATCAATAGGTGTTTCATCTGCCTTTGCCCCAAGTTTCCCTGTCTCCCATAGTAGGTCTGGAACATACTTTCTCTGTGAGATGAATATCCCATGCTTGGACCTTGCCACATCATTGCCCAGAAAGTACTTCAACTCCCCAAGATCCTTAATTTCAAACTCATTGTGCAAATTTTTCTTCAAGGCATCAATCTCACTCAAATCATTTCCTGTAACTATAATGTCATCCACATACCCAGAAAGTACTTCAACTCCCCAAGATCCTTAATTTCAAACTCATTGTGCAAATTTTTCTTCAAGGCATCAATCTCACTCAAATCATTTCCTGTAACTATAATGTCATCCACATACACTATCAAAACTGACACCAGTGACCCCCTCCTCTTCACAAGCATGTGTGATCAGATTGAGTTTGAGTATATCCAAATACAACCAATGCACTAAACCTGTCAAACCAAGCTCTAGGTGATTGCTTCAAACCATATAGAGACTTCTTCAACCTGCATGCCTTTTCCTTTTCCACATCATTGTAGAAAGTAGAAACTATCAGGAAGATCCATATACACCTCCTCTTGCAAATCCCCATTGAGAAAAGCATTCTTCACATCAATTTGGAAGAGTGGCCAAAAGTATGTAGCTGCTAGTGATGGAAGAATTTGGACTGAACTCATCTTTGCCACTAGTGCAAAAGTTTCCAAGTAATCTATGCCATAAGTCTAAGTGTACCCTTTTGCAACCAGCCTCACCTTATACCTTTCTATACTCCCATCAGCCTTGTATTTCACTATATAAACCCATCTGCATTCAACTGTCTCCTTGCCTTCTGATAGATCCACAATCTCCCACGTTTGATTCTTAGCAAGGCTTTCATTTTCTCGTACATAGTTTCCTTCCACTCAGGTTTGGAGAGAGCCTCACAAACACCCTTGGGTATAGACACGAAGTTGAGGGAGGGAATGAAGGCTCGGTAGGAAGGAGATAATCCATTGTGGGAAAGATAGTGTGAGATGCAATGAGCAGTACACTTTCTCTTTCCTTTTTTGAGTGCAATAGGAAGATCCTGCAATGGGGTTAGGAGCAAGGGTAGCAGTATCAATAGGAACTAAACCATCAGAGGAAGCAAGGGGCATATCTGGGTCAGTGTCAGTCGAACCTGGAATCTCTGTTGAGCCGATAGGGAGTGATGTGGGTTCCTCTGTTTTGGAATCAACCTCCCTGTGTAGTCATAGGCACTGTCGTGTAAAACACTGAGAAACAGGATGCAAGGGAGGTTCTAAAGTGGGTGAAATAGGTGGGTCAGACACTGGAGTGGACAAAGGGGTTGGAACTGGAAGTGGTATAGAATGCTCACTTCCTTCCCCAAAACACTCCCCCCTAAGAAGATGAAGAACCCTCTACAAAAAAAGATGTGAACTCAAAAAAGGTGACATCCATAGTAACACACCGACTCCCAGAGACTAGGTCATAGCAACTATACCCCTTCTGATTTCCTGCATGCCCAAGGAAGACACACTTCTTCGCCTTAGGGTCCAGCTTCGAGTAGTGAGGACCAAGAACATGGACAAAGCATACACATCCAAACACTCTTAGAGGAATATGGAACATCTCCCCCTTAAGAAAAAGAAGGATGGATGGAGTGCTATATCCAAGAACATGAGAAGGCACCCAATTAACCAAGAAAACCGTTGTAAGAACTGCATCACCTGAAAAATGCCAGAGTCAAGACTTACTGTCCTAAGTCAAAAACTGCTCTTCAAACAACCAAATTAGGGTTTTCACCAGACCTGGCAAACAGGAGAAAGGGAGAAAGTCTAGCCACTCCTACCAAAGGCTTCAGAAACTTTTCCAACTTTGGTCGATCTCAAAGATAGTTAGAATGCTTTTAATTTATCCCCAAGCGCCACTTCTAGACTCCCTCTATACCCTATAATCAAAAGGCTCTCCAATTAGCTAGGGTTTTCGGGAAACTCTCCAAGAACCTGCTTTGGGCCCCAAACCAGCACTGCAATCTTCTCCAGAAACCTCCTCTAAGTGGGCTGGATACTTGTTTACCAATTAACCAATCAACTTTCCATACAACTTGTGTATGGGATTAAGAAGAAGAGAAGAGAAGGTTGGAGCGCCGCTTTGATACCAAGTTGTAGATCCCACCTGCAATAATCTGAATTAAAGAAAGGAAAAAACAGAAGAGAAGAAGAAGATTGAAGAAGATGGGAGAGAGAAATGTAGAGGAAGAAGAGGAAGAAAGGGAAGGAAGAAGTGAGAGAGTTCTAACCTCTACTCAGCCCAAAATGATCTGTTTTATTCTTTTGTTGTAAAAAATAAGGACAGTTACATGAGTGCCCTTAGTAGGCCATCCATCACTAAAAACGACAATAAAAAAAGAAAAACAGGCCCACTACCTACTAACACAAGTCATAAACAATACTTAAAGAAAAATAAAGAAATTAAGGCCCATTATCTCTACAGAGAGCATTTTTGTATCATGACAGATCTGTGCCTACATAGTTTTTGCATCAGTGGAGCTGCTCGTTATTGCTTTTATGATACTTTATACATCCCTTCATATACTGTACTTCTTGATATCTAATACAACACAATCACCTTTTTCTGAAAAAACAAGTGGTAAAGCATTTCCAAGTATCAGTAGCATAGCCACAGGAAATATGGAAATGATTGATAGTCTCACCACTTATGAAAATTTTACACATTTATTTTCATGTGAGGTGGTAAAAACAAAAATTCTTCGTTTTGAATCTTACATTTTATTTTTCACATGAAGAGTCTCCCACTTGACCTGTATCAGTGACTTTTTATGATTGAGAACTTTTAACACCCAATGTAAGACCTCTTTATCTGGGTAAAGTTTGTGCTTGAAGTTTATGAAATTGCTATTTTATTTAAATTATCTCATTTATAGTGATAGGGTGGTAATACATTCTCTTTCATTTTTTTTTCTGTATTTATTTGTAGGTATGGGGCAATTGTTATGGATGATGAGAATGCTGATGGAAGTTTAGGATATACTGTACTTCACAACAGTTCTTGCCAGCATGCAGCTCCTACCTATATAAATTTGATGAATGCTGCAATTTTAAGGCTTGCAACTCGTAATGGAAGTATGAGGCTTCGGACACGCAATCATCCATTGCCAATGACAAAGAGTCAGCATGCACAGCGTCATGTATGCTACTATCTTTACATTTATGTTTACAACTTTTAACTAATTCTGTATTGTCATTCCTTTCATATATTTGTGAGCAAGATAATACAATAAATCTAGGTTACAGAGAGGATAACCAGAAGATGAGTTCCCTAATATGTAAAATGTATTTGTTTCAAACTGTTGTTAAGCTTCATTTCATTTTGGAAGCTTTTATCACTAGTTATAAACGTAAATCTTAAAAATTTCAAAGTTTGTTGTTTCATCAACATTTTTGTAGGATCTTGATGCATTCTCTGCTGCAATTATTGTTAATATTGCCTTCTCCTTCATTCCTGCCTCTTTTGCAGTGTCCATTGTTAAGGTATGTCTTTTAGCAAAAGATTGATACATTTTGATATTCTGTCATTCAATTTGTCCATTTACCATTTCATCCTAGGTTACTACTATGGTTTGTAATGTATTGTTCTTGTTTATGTGTGCAAATTTATCATTAAGAGTGGCTACCCTGCTCATTTGATTGCATATCTTGCTGGTTTCATGCAATTAAGAGTGTATTGCCTTAGTGATTGGAAATAAATAGCTGATTTTGAATTTTCCAGAGAAGATTTAATATTTTTTTTTGGGTGTGAAAGACATGGCTGTTCATTTCCTTGTTTCATGCAAGTACTGCACTTCAACCTTTGACTTCTATTTACAGAGTAGAAATATAATATAATCCTTGCTACTATTTTGTAAGTTTCACCATTAATCTGAAGGAATCCAGTTGGTCTAGATCCAGGTAAGTTGAACAACTTTTTGAAGTCAGGGAAGCATAGTATTTCTTTCAGAATCCAAAGTTAAAACCAGAAAACCAAAATTAGTCCAATAAACAGGTTTTTTTTTGTCAATTATGGTACTTCGGCTTGCCGCGAGGAGGAACCCAAATCCATAGCCTTTTGGGATGCAATTATGGATAGGTTTTCTAAGAAGGTAGCAACTTGGAAGAAGTCTTATATTTTTCTAGGGGGTTAGGATAATCTTGTAAGTGGAAGAGAAAATAGACAAGAGAAAAGAATGATTTGGAGATTCAAAAGTAAGTGGGTGTAGCCCCTATAATAGGCAACCATAACAAGAGGGGAAAAGACTGAACTACCCCCTCCCCCACCCACTACACTAGTTCCCCTTCAATCATTTTTTTTTTGATCAGCAAATAATTTCTTTAAAGATAAAAATTAAGGATAATACAATTGTTGAAAATACAAGCACCCGTTGGTAACATTTTACAAGTTTGCCCAAAAAAGGTTTTGCCTATCAACTCCCTGTTTGGCTAATACATCTGCTACCCTATTTGCAGACCTTCTCACCCAGCTGAACTGTGAATTCAATTGCTTTGCAATAACATCAATTTCCCTGAGAGCATTTTGTATTTCCAAGGTGCTGCCTTGTGATGCTTTGCCCAATTAATCACTAGTTGTGAGTCACCTTCCACTTCCAAATCTCTAAGGCCAAGCTGCCGTGCTTTTCTTATGCCTTGTAACATTGCCAAAGTTTCTGCATTTATCAAATCTCCCATGCCGATTGGTCCTGAACACAAAACCACCATTGAACCTTGATGGTCTCTGATAACTCTAATACCTGCTCTTCCTGTGTTGCCCATAGAGCTACCATCAAAGTTTATCTTCAGTTTGTTTACAGTTGGGGGCTTCCATTCCATCCTCACCTCTTCAGTGCATCTATCTAATTATGCCACTTCATACCAAGCTCTTATAATATTATTAACTGAAAAGACTTTGAGCATTTCCAATGTTTTTACCCAGAGAGCAGTTCTCACTGAAATAGCTTCCACAATCTCCTCCCTGGACCTGCTTTTCTCATTGAAAATTCTGCTGTTTCTTTCCTCCCAAACTCTCCAAACCAAGGCAGCTCTTAAAGTCCTCCACATGATTTTCCCTCTCTTTTCCTTGGGTCCCAGGAAATTGGGGTTGAAAAGGTTTATCAGTTCTTACTGAGGGGGGGGGGGTCCATCTGCAACCAAAGAGAGAACAGAAATATTCCGAAAGGAAAACCACAAGAGGACAGAAGATTAATAAGTGAGGCAAGGCTTAATCACTAGCCTTACAATGAACACACATATGAGGAGAAAGGCAAGTGTTTGGCCTCCTTTTCTGTAGCATGTCATATGTGTTTTTCTTACCAAGGAATACTTCTCAACACAAAGCTTGTATTAGGTGGGATAGGTTTACACCAAATTTCCTTCACTGGAAAAGATAATGCCGCGGAGTTGGGGCGGACTAAAAGATTAAAGAAGGAAGCACAAGAGAACAAGCCATCAAGGGAGGGGATCCCAACCCTAGCATCAGGTGTGTTTGGTCCAAGTAAGCAGACTCCAAAGAGGACAACAAAGAAATGAGTGACTCACATTCATTATCCCTTAGGCTCCTCTTGAAACCAAAGTCACAGTTAATCCCTGTTGGGGATAAAGCACCAAACTTGAAGACAGACTCAAACTTGTAAGTTGTCAGGGAATAGAGGATTGGAAATTGTTGGCAAAGGGGCATGCCACCTACCCAAAAAGAGGACTTTACTCCCACATCCCACATGAAAGCGAATGGAGTTTAAGAATAAAGGGAGTACCTCTATTATTTCTTTCCACAGTGATTTTGAAGAAGTGTAAGAGTCCATCTTTGCATCCCAGACATTCTCCCCTAAACTATGTATGCTTTCAATGACTTTGTGCCACAACATATCTCCTTTAGGGGGAATCTCCAAAGCCACTTTCCTAGTAGCGCTGTATTCCTCTTAGTCAGATTCCCAATGCCTAATCCACCCTATTCCTTTGATTTACATACCTGCTCCCATTTTATCAAGTGACCCTTTCTTTCCTCCCCCGGTTCCAAAAGGTAGTCCCTCATAATCTTCTCTAACTGCTTAGCTATTTTGACCAGGATCCTAAAGGTGGATAGGTAATAATTAGGTAAATTTGCTAGAGTGGATTTAATTAGAGTTATTCTTCCCCCTAAAGAAATATATTTCCTTTTCCACATAGCCAGTTTTTTACGAAATATTTCTAGGATAGGTTTCCAGAAACTCTCTGCTCTTGGGTTTCCTCCCAACACTAGGCTAAGGTAATTTAGGGGTCACTCTTTCACCTCACAACCTAGGAATCTAGGATTTGTGCCCATAGTCCCGCTTCATTTTTTTTTGGTGGAGTCCCCCTTCAAGTTGGGTTATACATATCAATCATTCTGAACTTGTTACAAAGTTCAACATGATGAGGAGCAGGAACTCCTTTTATTAGGATATTGGCTAACTGATTTTTGGAAGTAATGCAAGGAGTACAAATGTCACCCATCACCAACTTTCTCTCTAATGAAGTCCTTGTTTACTTCAATATGCTTTGTTTTGTCATAAAGAATAGGGTTGTGAATGATACTAATAGTAGCCTTATTATCACAATATAGGGCCATAGGGTTGATACAGGAATTCCTAATACAGGCATCCTGCTATTCTTATGTTGTGCTTAGGGTTTTTCTTTGAAATATTTAATTTGATTTAATAAAGGTAATGTGCTTCTTTTTGCTCTAGTGAAGAAGTGTATGTTGTTAATTACATATTATGTTGGTTGCAAATATTATTTCATAAATTTAGCTCAAGCTGGACATACATTGTATAGTTTAAGATAACTAAAATATTTTCTATTACAAGTTTACTATGTAGTGATCTTGTATCATAGTTGGCGTGTTAGTAAATTTAATGCATAGTAGTATATGGTATTAATTGATGCAGGAACGTGAAGTAAAAGCAAAGCATCAGCAACTTATTAGTGGGGTATGTTTTCTCATTTAAAGAATTATATGTTCTCAAGGATGGTTCTTATATTATTTTATATTGTTGTATTAATCAAGATTAATATCTACTCAGGTGTCTGTACTGTCATATTGGACTTCCACGTACATATGGGACTTTATCAGCTTCTTGTTTCCTTCATCCTTTGCTATAATTCTCTTTTACATATTTGGTATACAATTTAACTAGACTTTCTCTCCAGAATATTGCAGTTCTTTCAATCATCTTGTATTCTTGGTGCTTGTCAGACTGACCTGATGATTGTAGTTCATTTTGTTTGATGTTATCAGAATTATTACATTATAATAGCTACTTCCTTTCTGTATCGCAACATCTTTTGACCAACTTTCTCATGGTTATGTTTAAACCTTATTTGATAGTTTAACCAAGAGAACAAAGGGAATTCATGGGTTTACTTTTTGTCTATAGGTCTGGATCAGTTCATAGGAAATGGTTGTTTCTTGCCAACTATCTTCTTGTTTCTAGAATATGGATTAGCAATCGCAGCATCAACATATTGTCTCACTTTTTTCTTTTCTGAGCACTCTATTGCGCAGGTTGCACTTCCTTTTCTTTTCCCATATAATTGTGACACCTCCTACTTCACACCCTCATGTGCATGCTAACAAATCTAAAATTATTGCAGAATGTGGTTCTTTTGGTACACCTGTTTACTGGACTCATTCTCATGGTTATTTCATTCATAATGGGGCTTATTCCAGCAACTGAACATGCAAACTTGTTTCTTAAGGTTAGTGTACTTAAAACATTTTAGAATCATTGCATTTATGACTGTAGTTTAATGTGACACTGAATGTTAGTTTTCTCTTATGACTCTTACATATATATTTCCTTCGTCTTTTTCAAATAAATTTTGTCATATATTTAAAATTTACTATTATTTTGGGTTGGGTATCTACAGAATCATACTAATTTGGCTGTTGTGTAAGGTTGAGAAAGAGAACCTCTATATCCAAGAATTGCTGTTTACATAATTATGCCACTAGTCTTTTACTGCTTTATTAACACCCCTAGAAGGAAAAAAAAAGACAGAAAACAAAGAGTCAGAGTGCTTACCATAAAAGAAAAGAAAAGATTAGGCCTACAGTAAATTCCCTATTATTGTTATTATTGTTGTTGTTGGTGTTGTTGTTATTAATATTAATATTATTATTATTACTCATGTTGACTAGTCTCTGTGTTTTTCTTCTACCCTTTTCCCCTTTAAACCGTTTTTTATTTTGCTTGAAGAAAATATTTTATTAAGAAAAAGTGACAAACAAACACACAATTACACTGACAGAGTACCAAGACCAAATTGGAGGGTTTCCACAAAACTCCCTTTGATTAACGGCACTCATACCGTCAACAATATGAGAAGCTTTTACAGGACCTGTAGCTGTTTCAAAAATAATACCCCAGTTTTTAACCATCTATAAGACATCACAAAGAATAAACTATACTTAAATAGGGCATCCTACAAGGGAATTTACCCAATACTTTGCTATCAGTCTCCAAAATTGTATTATTTAAAGCAAGTTTTTGCTAGGATCACTCCTTTCATAATATCTACAGAGCTTCAGCTGCAGCCAAGCTGGAAAATGAATTTTCTGCAATGAAGTCCATTACATTCTCTATCAACTACACCAAACCTCATAAAACCCATTGATTTAAAAAGTGTGCCTAGGTGCATAGATGAGGCACATTTTAAGGTATTCACCTTGCCTAGGCCCCAGGCACAACACTTTCAAAAGGCGCATGCCTAGTTCACCTTCGCTTCAGGGCCTCGTACTCAGCTTCATTGTTGGAGGTAGGGAAGTTGAACCGCAGCGCATATTCCAACTTGTTGTTTGGGGTGGGAATATGAGGTCGGCTCCACTTCCTTTGGCATTGGAGGATCCATCCATGAACAAAATCCAAGTAAGCCGAGGCCTCTCATCCTCTTCGGGGGCCTGGCCGGGGGCACGGCTGAAAGTGCATTTGACCAAGAAGTCCGCCAACGCTTGTGCTTTTATTGCGGGCCTCGACTGATAGTGTAAGTCAAACTCTGATAGCTCGACGACCCACTTGGTTTGCCAACCCGAGGTCTCAGGTTTGCAGAGCACTAACTTGAGGGGTTGGTTGGTCAGTACCGAGATGCTGTGAGCCTAGAAGTAGGGCCTCAGTTACCTGGTCTCGGCATCACAAAGGACCTTGTCGACATAATAAATTGGCCTCTGAATTCCTTTGTCCTCTCGTACTAGAACTGTGTTGACGGCCTCGTCCCCGGTTGAGAGGTATAAGAATAGGGTCTCTCCTAGGAGGGGCCGCATGAGCAAAGGAGGTGACGTGAGGTAGAACTTCAATTCTTCAAAGGCTTTCCGGCACTCTTCAATCCATTGGAATTCCTTGAGCTTCTTGATAGCTCAAAAGAAAGGTATGCAGCGGTCGGCTGACTTAGACATGAATCGACTGAGGGTTGCAACTCGACCAATGAGTCTCTGAGTTTCCTTGATGGACCAAGGGGGCTCCATGACAAGTATGGCTTGTATTTTCTCGGGGTTGGTCTTTATGCCTTGTTGGGTGACCACAAAGCCCAAAAACTTGCCCGAGGTGACGCAAAAGGCACTCTTGTTGGGGTTCAATTTCATGTTGTACTTCCTTAGCACCTCAAAGGTCTCGCCGAGGTCCAAGGTGTGCTAGCTAGCTTTTAGGCTTTTCACCACCATGTCGTCGACGTAGGCCTCGACATTCCTCCCCATCTGGTCCTTGAATATCTTATTAACTAGCCATTGGTAGGTGGCCCTGGCATTCTCCAGTCTAAAAGGCATCACTTTGTAGCAGTAGGTGCTGTGCTCGGTGATGAACGAGGTCTTCTCCTCGTCACCGGGGTGCATCTTGATCTAGTTGTACACGGTGAAAGCGTTCATGAAGCTTAACAACTCGTACCCTGTGGTGGCGATGATGAGGTGGCCAATCCTCGACAAAGGAAAGTTGTCTTTGGGGTAGGCCTTGTTGAGATCTCTCAGATGAAGCTGACGTCGAGTAACTTATCCACCTCCTCTCCAATGGCTTTCCAACGCTTTGGTGCAAAGTTCCTCTTCTTTTGTCGAACTGGCCTACAACTCGGGTCCACGCTTAGCCAGTTCAGAAAGTGTCCTGAGGGAGGCGTGACCTGACTCGTACCGCCTTCTTGAAGGAAGGTGGAGTCCATATGGATGGCCAAACCATGTTGGATGATTGGGTGAAATTTCAAAAATTTTCTTTCAACCTTCCGGGAATCTTATTCCCAGTTTTAGAAAAACTGCATTGTTCTAGGATCGATCTTACATTGAAACCGGATCAGATTTGAAACAAGAGGGAGATGTATACCTGATACGGATTCCACAAATGTAGCTCCCAAAGTGGTAGTTCACGCCCAAATCAAATCCCAAAACCAACTTCCACTGAAGATGGTGCAGCTTGGAGTGAAGCCGGTTCAACAACTTAGTTTTGAGCAAAACTGCAATCCAACACCTTGGATCGAACTAGGGAGGTGAGCACGAGATTTCTCTGAATTTTTCTTGCAAAAATCAGAGAGAAAGAACTGATCTTTATCAGTCCCAAGTTGTAGTCGAACTGGGAGAAAACCAGGAGACAAGGGTGCAGAGAGGACCAGAAATTGCAAAAATATGAAGCTGTCTTGGACTGGTCCACCCCCTCCTCTTTTATAATCTCTTATGGAGCTATCTCCTAATCTAATTAGGAGATAATCCAGGTCCAAATCAGATTTGGACTCTCTTTAGAGATAGACCTTATCTTCTTATAAGATTAGGTGCTCCATACCCAGATCCAAACCTAGATTCACCCCATGTCACATGACAGCTTAAGCAGTTATGTGACATCTTGATTAATCATATTAATCATGGGCTTTAGGCCCATTGGATGTATGGCTCATGACCCAAGAGTGTTGCTGGCCTATTTAGGTTTAATTTGTATGGCATGGGACCCCAACAATGACCTCACATAAGCCCACATGGGTTCGGCCCAACATCTGTGAAAAGGCCTGGCTGAATTCACTACCGAATGCAGTGAACCCCTAAGCTCATCACTATGGGCTCAAATGGGCCCAACATTTACTATTAAATGATCCTTGAATCCAGCCATCCTGTGAAAACCCAAGAATAATGGACTTAAGTAAGATATAGCCCATCTGGTAATCAGTCCTTAATGGTTTCTTACTCTTAACCTCTTAGCCCATAATGATCAAACACTGCCCAACAGGAAAGGACCTCTCCCCTGACTACAAGGTGCAGTGTCACACTCTCTGCTCGGATGGATCACAGGAATTAAAACCTTTTGCAAACACTTTTCTTAAAACATAATATATATATATATATCATATAAATATATTTTGCAAAACAAATCTTAAACACGGTTGAAATCCACTACCGGCAGTTTAAGTTTCCATCAGAGAGAGTGCAGTCCCGATCATTCACTTTGTCTGACGAAGGGGCTGATCCTATCACTATGACCACACACTCAAGTGAATTCTCAGACTGCCCCAACATACCCAGGTTTTGACCCCCAAAGGATCTCAATGATTGGCGTATTAAAGATAGCCCGATCCGACACCTAGTGGAGTACCATAATCAAGTCTAGGGGTTATGTGTAACTTTCCAATTTTGTCCATCAGTCTCTAAGGTCCAGGGCATAACTGGAAAGTGGTCCGGGTTTAGTGCTTCAATCAAACACACACTACATGTGCTTCGGGTCTAACCCTAGCAGCTGAGGCCGATTGGTCCAATCTGTAAATAAGAGAACACACGTTAGAGGCCCCAGGTGTTATCCTAGGGGCGGAGACTCTAACGGTCAAGTTAGCCAAGTACTTAGAGAGGGGTCGGACTAGGCAAGAGACGAGAGCTTAGAGTTTAGTCCTTAATAGCCGGGAATGGTAATCTAGATCATTACCTTGAAGTGAGTGCCCCCTTTTAAAGCTAACCTTGCCGTAGGAGTGGTTGGAAGCTGTTGGTGATGTGTGGCTAGGATTTGATCTGGTCCATGCCATGTGGTGCAATCTGAGGCATGCCAAGTATTTCTAATCAGTATGAAACTGAAAAGTGAGGGTGAGGACAAGACACCCTCCATTGAGAGATTAATATCCGCATATAGATACCTCTCTTGTCAATATATGCTTCATTTGAATCCAATTCCATATTATTTTCAAAATCAGCTTCCGATGATGATTACCTATTTCATTTCTAGTAAGCAAGGAGAAGATTGTAAAATATAAGGTATGAACATTTGTACAAAGAGAAATGACTACTAACAAAAGTGTCACATTAGATACCGAAGGATACAAACTTATCAGCTTGTATTCCTTTTTTGTAGTACTTATCAGCATATATTCTCCCTCCAAATTTGGACCTTTTAAGCTATTAGAGGATTTTTGGACCTTTTAAGCAAAAGGCGCATATTTAAAATACTGCTAAAGTTCTCTCCAGAAGTTAGGGATGCCCTAGGGCCTGGTCTTAATCACATCTCAACGTTGTTATTTCTTTTCCCTTGAAGATACTACAAAGCAGTGTAATTAAAGATTGCGTAGGAATTTTGGAGGCCTACCACCTAAGCAAACAAACTAGTTGGGTGGTATAGTTATCAAAATCTTAGTACAAATAACTCTTTATTCCCCTCCCCACGGCTATTAATATGATTGTGTATACCTCATTTTGAACCAGGGAGGTTATTCAAAAATCTTGTCTTTTAATGAAAATCAAGTGTAAGTTGTCATTTAACCATTTTATAATTCAATTTGCAGTTTAATATTTTACAATTTACATATAATTATACATTATGATAATCTTATATATTGTTACACGTTTATTTATTCATTTTTCTCACCTAGACATTGCCTTGTCACCTTAACATGAATTTACCTTGCCATGTCATAGTGCCTTAACATTGCCTAGCTGCCTCAACTGCTACAATCATTCATTAATCTTCAAATGCATAACCTCTTTTACTGATATTTGTATAATTTATGGCAGAACTTTTTTAGATTATCACCAGGGTTCTGTTTTGCGGATGGGCTTGCTTCATTGGCTCTTCGACGACAAGGATTTAAACATGGATCTGATGATGGAATTCTTGACTGGAATGTGACTGGTGCTTCTATCTGTTATTTAGGTGTTGAGGTCCTGTCTTGATCTTGTACATTGTGCATGTCTTTTTTCCTCTTTTGTTCTCTCATAGATAGATTAGATAGGTACCAACAACATAATATATCTCTCCCATCTAACTAGTGGTTGAGGAACAATCAGTGTGCCTGATATGAAACCATACTGATCTAAACAAGACATATAAATTTATTTTGGGTTGGCTAACTAGATTAGTTTCTTGAATTCTATATCTTCCAGTTTGTGTTTGTTTGGTAATATACTGCAATTACAGTAGCGAGATTATATAGTGTGCCTCCTTTATTTTTTAAAGTTGGAATGTTATATTATTAAAAAAACTTGCACATTATTGATTTTACCCCTTGCTTCTTATGTAAAATTTGATATTTTTGTACAATGTAAAATATCTACATGGACATGCAATGCACCAGCATTGTAAGAGTTAACCTCTTAGACTCTTAAAGGGATAGGAAGGATTCCTATTAATAATTTTATAACATATGTGGCTTTGGAACTACCTAAAATATATTGGGGGGGGGTTTATTTGGATGATTGGTTCTTTAATGAAACTACGAAAGAAGAGGAAGAGAGGAAATATGGGGCTGAATCCCCACTGGCAATTTAGTATGTGGAAATCTGACCATTTTTGTTAATGAATGTGAATGCTCAAGGGCCTTCCTCTCGGGTTCAGGTTGGGTTGGGTTGCTCAAGGCCTCATCCCTAACCTAACCCAAAGCCGGAATTCCTGTTAATAACTTTATAACATATGTGGCTTTGGAACTACCTAAAATATATTGGGGGGGTTATTTGGATGATTGGTTCTTTAACGAAACTACGAAAGAAGAGGAAGAGAGGAAATATGGGGCTGAATCGACACTGGCAATTTAGTATGTGGAAATCTGGCCATTTTTGTTAATGAATGTGAATTGCTCAAGGGCCTTCCTCTTGGGTTCAGGTTAGGTTGGGTTGCTCAAGGCCTCATCCCTAACCTAACCCAAAGCCGGGTTCACGTTTTTAAACCCTAACCCTTTAATACAACCTGACGTTTTTGGAATGGGTTCAGGCTAACCAGATAATCCACACCAAGTTGCACCCCTACCATCCATTATTGGTGTTGCTTTGTGTCACCCCAAGTAAAAGAAGCCCAATTGTTCTATGCATAGGTACAAGGTACTGTTGCACTCGAACTTATAAAATTGATTATGAGGAGGCATTCTTTCCAATAGCCAAAATGAATACCATCAGAATTATACTCTCTCAGTGAACAAAGCTTGGCCACTTCATTTACTTGATATAAAGTACATATCACTGTATGCAAATTAAAGGAAGAAAGAAAATGTCTGTTCTACCTAAAAGTGACTCTTCCTAATCAGGAAGGCAAGTGTGAAGGTTAAAGAAAGCAATTTATGGGCTGAAGCAGTCTCTAAGGTTCTAGTTTGGGGGAGTCATATTGTTAAAAAGTGAGGATTTAGTAAAGTCATGCCTATCATACACTCTTTGTAAGGAAGAAGAGAGAAGCCGCTACCATCCTTATTGTGTAATGGGATAGTCTCTAGGTCCTCTAAAATATTTCTTATCCATATCAAAAGAGGACATTTTTATTTTCCAGAGAATTAAGCCCTCTACAAGAAACAAGAAAGCTTGGAACAAGACCAATAGGTATACCCATGGATCTGAATTTGAAGTTAGAAGACTGTAGTGGAGAGCCTGTTTAGTATGTGAGAAGATTTCAACAACTTACAGGGAAGTTAATATATCTTTCTCTTACAAATCTATTGAGCTAGTTTATGCACTCTCCTAGGGCTCCACATCTGGATGCTTGGAGAAGTAATAAGCAATTAGTGATGGCAAGATCTAGTGCAGAAGCTGCATGCCATGCCATGGCTTTGGGTGCTTGTGAACTATTGTGGTTGAAGATATTACTGTATGACTATCAATAAAAAAATGAGAGATTTGCATAAAATGTTTAACTGGTTTTTTAGTTTCAATTGAATCAACATGCTGTGGTACAATTCAGAAAAGGAATATCAAGACAAATGGAGGATATATGACAAAGTTGACTACTGCATAAAAGCATATTGATTTTTCCACACATCAGTCTTTAATGCTTAATATCAATTTATATTAACACAAAGCAATGAAAAAAAGTAAAAATAATTGCAATTTGGTATCAGTACATAGTGTCCATGCACATATTGTTAGATTCAATACCCATTTTGTATGTCAGCTCAACTTAACTAATTCGCTTCCAAACTGTATGGTGTCAGTTAATACCTATATTGGTATGTCTGCCTATGAAATTGGAATTAGATACCTTCTATGTCATCTGTTGTAGTCTAACATTTGATATTTACAATCTGTTTCAACGTTGTCATATTTTCTTACTTGCATACAATGAATTAAATCTCTCTCTTTCAAATTTTGTCATCTGCAACAGAGTATTGTTTACTTCATTTTCACAATTGGGCTTGAACTCTTGCCTCCTCACAAGTTAACATCTTACACAATGAAGAAATGGTGGAAGACTTTTAGAAATCACCCTGATGGCTCTTCCCAGAGTCTTTTAGAACCCTTTCTGAAATCATCATCATCTCAAGTTTCTGCTTTTGATGTTGATGAAGATGTAGATGTGCAGGCCGAAAGACACAGAGTGCTTTCTGGTTCTGCTGAAAATGCTATAATCTACTTGCAAAATCTTCGGAAGGTACTTTATTTTGTGGTTTATGTAACTAAACTTTTTATCAAATTGGAGCATCTTCCTTCTGATTTTGTGATATAACTTTTCATGTGATGTAGCCAATCTCTAATTCCAATTTCAGGTCTATCCTGGAGGAAGGAATCAGACTGAAAAAGTTGCAGTTCATTCATTAAGTTTCTCTGTTCAAGAAGGAGAATGCTTTGGTTTTCTAGGAACAAATGGAGCTGGGAAAACTACCACCTTATCAATGTTATCTGGTATATGAGATTTCTTATTAATTTTTTTCTCCATCAAGTAAAAATGTCTCACAAATATTTTTTTTTTGTTTTTGATGATCTTTATAAGATGGCTACAGGAACAACAATGTTGTATGGAATGGGGTTTGGGGTAATCAAGAAATAACACACCCATAAAATGAGTGTTAAGGATTTTATGATATCAATATAGATGAGAAGCAGGACTAAGATAGAATTAGAATTTAGAGGCTTTCATGGAAACCTAGATATAATCTCTATAGGTGATGAAATGAGGGTTAGTCTAACATAGTTTTAGCCGTGCACATAGAAAATTGCTGTTCCAAGTGGTTACATATATACATACATACATACATATAGTCATATATATATATTTGAAGATCAATAAAGAAAAAAATCATTCAATCGGTCAGAAAAAATACAATGTTTTGGTGACAAGAAGTCACCCCAACTCTTACAAAGGAGAGCCAAAGAAGAAACAAAAAGATTACAATTGGACTTGAGCATTCAAAGTGTTCCAGAAGTCATCTCCGAATTTTGCTTTGCTTAATCCTTTGAATTCTGGCAAAACTAAAACCCACCCTACAATCCTTGAACTGATTGCAGCCCCTAACTCTTTGTTGCTTCTCGATTTCCCTTCGAATATTCTCTTATTTCTTTCCTCCAGGCTTCCCAGCATATAGCGAAAGAAATACAGCTCCAGATGATTTTTATTTTGATGCTTCCATTCACCCTCGTCTAGTAGCCAAATATCTCCATACAATCACTAGGATCCCATCCATCCATGTTCAACAGCTTGAAAAATTAGGCCCAAATAGTCCTAATGAATCTGCGGTGCACCAGTAGGCGAAGGATAGGTTCCTCTTCAGACAAGCAAAGCGGGCTTCTACTAGAAAACTGATGGCCTTTCTTTTTTCAGATTGTCTTGAGTCAGGATACTTAGGGGGTGTGAACGGATCGAATTCGAATAAAATCAGGCAATATTCGAATTCGAATCCGATTAGGAAGTTTGACATACGAATTCGATTCGATATCCAACGGATATTGAAAATTAATATTCGAATTCAAATTCGATTAAATATCCAAATATTCGATTCAATTCGAATTCGAATTCAACCAATTAATTATTTTAGGGTAATTCGAATCCGATTAGGAAGTTTGACATACGAATTCGATTCGATATCCAACGGATATTGAAAATTAATATTCGAATTCAAATTTGATTAAATATCCAAATATTCGATTCAATTCGAATTCGAATTCAACCAATTAATTATTTTAGGGTAATTAATAAATATATAACATAAATATTTTATTTATATAAAGTATATAAATATATAAATTATTTATATAATTTAATTACTATATATATAAATTATATAAAACATTTAAATATTTCATATATTATATATAAGAATTAAATAATTGGTCAAATTCAGATATTTATTGAATCAAATTAGGTCATATCCAAATTCGAATCCAATTAGCTATTCAGTATGAACAGGATATTCGAATTTGACCAATTAGATATTCAAATTATCCGAATTTGATTCAATTATGTCGAATCTCGAATTCGAAATCGGATTTTCGAATACCGTTGACACCGCTAAGGATACTTCCCATTGAAATGAGCCAAGCAAAAGGCTCCACCCTTGGGGGAACTGACTTCCCCTAAACCCCTTTAACTGAATTAGGCTCTACCTGATTTTTGGACAGAGCATTATATAGAGACTTGACAGAAAATCTTCCGTTTCTATTTTCTTTCCACCATATAGCATCTGGAAGGTGATGGGTTCACTTCCACCTCTTGAAGCTTCTCCAACAGCCCCACACATTCCTCTGTCTCCCAATTCAACAGAGGTCGGCTGAATATTCGAATTTGACCAATTAGATATTCGAATTATCCGAATTTGATTCGATTATGTCGAATCTCGAATTCGAAATCGGATTTTCGAATACCGTTGACACTGCTAAGGATACTTCCCATTGAAATGAGCCAAGCAAAAGCCACCACCCTTGGGGGAACTGACTTCCCCTAAACCCCTTTACCTGAATTAGGCTCTACCTGATTTCTGGACAGAGCATTATATAGAGACTTGACAGAAAATCTTCCGTTTCTATTTTCTTTCCACCATCTAGCATCTGGAAGGTGATGGGTTCACTTCCACCTCTTGAAGCTTCTCCAACAGCCCCACACATTCCTCTGTCTCCCAATTCAACAGAGGTCTTCTGAGTTCAGGACACCACACCACGCCCAATTGCAAAATTTAGCATTGAGAAATAGGTACACCCTTCTTACTTAGACTGTAAAGCTTAGGACATAGCTCACACAACTTTTCAACCCCAATCCAGTTATCCTCCCAAAATCTCACACTTGAATCATTCCCCATCTTCCAATAAAAGAAAAGGTTGAATCAAAGAGTTAAATTTCATGATCCCTTTCCAGAACTCACTCCATAAGTAGATCAAATTTCCCTTACATCCCACCCAAATTTCACCACTCCATATTTTCAGGCCACCACCCTTCTCCATAGAGTGTTTCCCTCTCTTTACCAAACCTCCGAACCCATTTCCCCAACAAGGCCTTATTAAAAGTTCCCACCCTTCTCACTCCCAATCCCCCATCCTTCTTCGCCCTACAAACCAGGTTCCAACTCACCAAATGGTATTTCTTTTTCTCCACCTTTAGATTCCAAAGAAAATCTCTGTAATTTTTCAATTTCTTCTTGAACCGAAGCTGGAGCCTTAAGCAAAGACAAGTAGTAAATTTTTTATTTTTTTTGAAAATAAGACAATTAGTAAATGGGTAATGGATAGAACACACTTTATTAAAGTGATTTTTCCTCCAAAGGAGAGGTATTTGCCTTTCCAACCTGCCAACCTTTGTTCAATGTGATCAATAACAGGTTTCCAAACATGTGGAGCTGCTGCCCTAGCCCCAATGGGGAGCCCAAGATATGATAAAGGGAACTCTCCAATGAGGCATCCTAAAGCCCCAGCACATTCCTCCAAACAGGCCTGCTGAATATCTCCCACCCCAATCATCACACACTTACTTAGGTTGATTTTTAACCCCAAGAGCAATTGGAAGCTTTCGAGGATTCCTCTCAAGTTGTAAGCTTGTTCTACAGATGCATCCATGAAGATCAAAGTGTCATCAAAATATTGAAGATGAGAAATGTCTAAACTAGAAAATCCAATCTTGAAACCAGCCGACAAATCTGTATCTACTTCTACTCTATTCGATACTTCCACTACTAGGGCAAATAGAAAGGGGGATAAAGGATCCCCTTGCCTCAAACCCCTCGAAGCCTCAAGGAATTTTGTTGACACTCCATTAACCAAAGTTGAAAAGGATACTGATGAGATGCACACAAACATCCAACTTCTCCATTTCTCCCCAAAACCCATTCTACTTAGCACTTCCTCCAAGAAACCCCATTCTACATGATCATATGCCTTCCAAATCCATTTTGCAAATTACTCCACCTTCCCCACTTCTTATCCTTGCATCTACACATTTGCTTGCAATCAGAATCCCATCCAAAATCTGACGCCCATGTACAAAAGCGATCTGAGTGGGACCCACCACCATATAAAGGACCTCTTTCAACCCATCCAAGTGGTTATATGCATTAGAGGTTCCAACTTCCAAGTCAAAGAAGACTATAAATGGCTATAAATCTGTGGTGTGCTCAGCAGAAACATAAAAAAGGCAGCCCAGTGCATGAGGCTTCCACCAATGTGGAGTCTGGGGAGGGACAGATGTATGCAGCCTTACCCCCTACAAATACACAGAGAAGCTGTTTCCAAAATTTGAACCCTGGTAACTGAGGTCGCAATGGAGCCAACCCAACCATTGTGCCAAGGTCCACCTGCTAAGCAGAAACATTAGTCTTCTAAATTTGGAAAGAGGATATTGATTCTTTCTTAATACATATTATATATAACTGTTGAAAATTCTCACATCATTAGACAAGTATGGGATTTTTAGATTTTTGTAATCAGAATTATCCATTATAAAAATTTATTTTCTTCTAATATTTTTCTGAATGTTGCATACAGGGGAAGAGTGTCCAACAGATGGAACTGCTTATATTTTTGGCAATGATATATGTTCAAAGCCCAAGACTGCTCGTCGACATGTATTTTTTAACATCATCACTTCATTTATTTTTGCAATGACATGGTCATTAATCATTATTTAAAAACATTAGGATGAAACCTAGATCAAATGATCCTATTGTGTTTTACATGCCCAGATTGGTTACTGCCCACAATTTGATGCGCTGCTGGAGTTTCTAACAGTCCAAGAGCATCTTGAGCTTTATGCAAGAATTAAAGGAGTTTCAGAAAACAGAATGAAAGATGTATGGAATACCAAAACCTAATATTTTGCTAATCTCATCCTTATCATAAAATGCTTACACCAACAGAATTTCTTCTATCTTTCCCATATTTATAATGACATCCATCTGATTGGGCAGGTTGTCATGGAAAAGTTGGTGGAATTTGATTTGTTCAAGCATTCTAACAAACCGTCATTTTCTCTTAGTGGAGGAAACAAACGCAAACTATCTGTTGCAATTGCTATGATTGGAAATCCTCCTATAGTTATTCTCGATGAGCCATCTACAGGTCTTGTCCTCACTAATTATTGCTTTCTAGAGAAAATTTTAATGATGTTTAATATCTCAATTTGTTTCTAAAGTAAACCATAATGTTGCTTTTGACATGTCATGCTTGATTATATGGAACATTATATGGACATTTTATGAACTTACATTTAGGCTCTGCCAGTATTATATTTCTACTACAATAATTTCTAATTTTTTTTTTGTTTTTTTTGGATAATTAACTGAAATTTTATTAAAACTAATAAAAAGGGGAGCAAACACAACAAAGCAAGGGGAGGAGTAAAATCTCTTAATCCTCCCTGAGAATAAACTTATAATACAACATTGCCCAACAGAGACTGACCCTTCGTACCCCTTGTTTAGAAAGTGCATCCACAAAGGAGTTTGCACTTCTCTTAATCCACTGAAGCTTAATCTCCATGTCCTGGGTCGGCCATTTAAACCTCTTTTTCTCATTTGAGAACTTCCATATCCCTTTCTCTTCCTTTTACAGCCAGCCAATGATCAACATCGAGTCACCTTCCACAACCAATTTTCTGATATTTAATTCCTTTGCTCTCTTTATCCCTTTCAAAACCACCATTACCTCAGTTCTTAGGGAATCCCCTATGTAGAGAACACTGATGTGGACCCCACTATGTTCGTATGGCAGCACAGCATGTATTCTTTGTTAGTTATGTCAGTGTTAGGTGGTAGTTATTTCAGTTTTGTTGTTACAGCTTGTTATTTCAGCTTTATTATTAGTTTATTTGCCATGTAAGCATTAAGGGCAATTCAGCCTTTTTTTTACAATTAGTAAACATATAAATATTAAGAGTGGGTCGGCAGATTGATTCTATTCGACCCTCTCTC